ATTATTCCTCCAATAAGATTTCATTTTAAACAGCTGATATTGCAGGGTTGCCATTGTTGCCTCTACACGTAGACTTTCATTGTCTACTTTACGTGTAGACAATGTAGACAAGGTGTCAACAATGTAAAATAATATAAATGACGTTTAATTCTAACCTCACACTTTCCTTTTCAAAAATTATTTTTATTTTATTTTCGGTTTTCCTCATATTTATAATCAGTGAATGCTGATATCAAAGTGATAGGTATAAGCTACTTAGGTAGTAGTAATTTTGGAACTTTTTTTTTAATTTTCTAAAATAAGTTTATTGTTTACGTCACATGTAGACATTAGATGTATTCCTTTCAAGAGTTTGAAACACTCGAGCTACTCGCTTCGGTGTTTAGTAGCCCCCGATTTGCAGGGAACAGATGCGGGGTGCAACAAACACTTTTCGAAAGGAATAAGCGCGTGAAGCCCCAGAGGTGTTCCGGAGCTCCTCCTAGGTGTGAAAGGAATACAACTATTGTGTAGACAAATGCCCACGTAAACAATTCGAATTGTCTACACGTAGACAATCAATTGTTTACGTTGACATTGTCTACAGGCACATCACTCGATTTCGACAAATAAACCAATATATTCATTTTCATTAGTGTTTTGGAATCAAAATACAATCGACCAAATTATAACCGCAAAAAATGATCCTAACTCATTGTACTTTTTAGCTTGACATGACAACACGGCACGAAAAGCTTGATGCAAAATGGCAACCGCTGGCCAATAAGAATCTAGAGTTTAACGCAAGCGCAGTTCATAACCTCGGCGTCATGCGTCTTTCAAACCAATCAGGTAGTGTCCATTCTCGTCCAAATATCAGACCGCCGCCAAGGGGCCGGTTTCTCAATAGCAAGTCACCCCTGGGTGAAGCATAACTTTAGGGTAAACATTGCAACTGGACACGTTTACCCTGGAGTAAAAACCAATCCGGAACTGACTCGCCGAGTTTTGCTCGAAGAACAAAATGAGCATGATCAAATTTCAAAATTTTCACCGGAGGGGGTTGGGAGAGATTCTTGGGAGCTCTGTAGGTCTCTCCTGGTAATGGAGCAAAACTCGCCGATAGTGGAGCAAAATGGAGCAAAACTCGGAGAACAAAATGAGCATGATCAAATTTCGAAATTTTCACGGGGGGGGGCTAGCGTTAATTCAGTCCCCCCCACCTAATTGGCCACATAGTCTCTCCACTGTAATGGAGCAAAAATCGAAATTAGTGGAGCAAAATGGAGCAAAATGAGAGCAAAATTATAGGATAATATTCATCCAGAAATTTTTTATGGGGGGGGCTAACTTAACTGACCCCAACTAATGTAATATGGGAACGGCCGTCAGATAAACTCGTTCTGCTCCAAAGTGAACAAGGAACGGTTTGGAACAGAAAGAAAGAGCAAGAAAATTGGATAAAGGAAGGCTAACAACCCTCAACTAACAGGATGGCTTTTCCCCATAAAGCCTCACTTGCGCAAAATTCTCTCTTTTTTGACATTGCTTCGATAATTTGACGTTTGATACACGCATAAAACGTCAAATTGTCGAAGCAATGTCAAAAGAAGAGCGAATTTCGCGCAAGTGAGAATGAGGCATTAGAGAGGATTTTCATGCATCCGTTTTTTCGTCGAAATATGTCCGTTTAACATTCTATTCTGACATAATCGTATATAAATATGTCAAAATAGAATGTTAAACGGACTTATTTCGACGGAAAAACGGAGGCATGACAATCCTCCCTTAGGCGTACGTTCGCTTTTCGACTAGTCGTGAAGTCACTGAAGTCTTGAGGTCTACATTGACGTCAAAATGACACAAATGGTGGGGAGTTTTCGCGTGGACATGGCAGACACTTTCAGCTAGATAAGCCATTCTATTAAGATTTAGGGTTCTTGAAGGAAGGCCAAGTTTTTGAATTAACCAATTGCTTATGCGCATTTTTCTTGATGAGGAGTAACCTATCTTTGTTTTGCTGCTGTCAAATGACAAGGACAGCATTACATCGGTGAAAATGCGCATATGTCATTGTGGATTTCAAAAGCTTGCCAAGCCAGTAAATCGGAAAACTGAATTTTGATTTTGGAACGATTTGCAGCAAATACCATCGTCACCAAAAGTAACTGGGTACATTACTGACAGTTAAAAAAAGATCACCGCCATAAATAGCTATTTCGGAAAAATAAAAGGCTGTCCCTATAATTTACGTCTGTCAAATTTGTTCACTTGAAAATAGGCGCCATCTTTGTCTCATAGATTTGCACTGTCATTTCAATATAAAATCATTCGGAACACATTTCACTGCTCCGAACATGGGCGCTCGAGCAAACGAGCTTGATTATCGGTATTTATTTATGACACAAATAACTATTTTTGCAAGCGATTCCCATTTGTAAATTCAGTGCGTACTTAGACTATTTCTGTCTTTTTCTAGAAGGACGTGAAAAAAAAAAGGATCGAAATTAGTTTTAACTAACAGGGCTTCTTGCGGGCTCTGTTTGTCTATTTGTACCAAAGTTACACCAGTCTGCACCAGGTGCACCAAAAAGTCAGTTTGTCTGTCAGACCCATACAAAAAAAAAAAATATAGGAATAAACCTTGGATAAACAAACACGTTTGGTGTAGAAAGTGTCGGTTGGTGCCTTGTTGGTGCGAATAAACAAACAAATCTAGTGAAACCAGGGACCACCGTTCTCTTCATAGCCATTATACTCGATGCGCTTTGCACTCAAATGCTTGAAAATCAGTTAGGTACAGGTGCATCAGGAAAAAGAGGCGAGGAAAATGAGAGCAGCTTCAGAGCGCCTGATTGCTCAAAGCGTGGCTGAGCCTGAGCTGCTTTCGAGCTCAGGCTCAGGTAATGGAGCAGAACTCGCCGATCATGGAGCAAAACGGAGCGAAACTCGGAGAACAGAATGAATATGATCAAACAAAATTTTAACTGGTGTAAGGGGGCTAGAAGAGATTCTTAGGAGCTCGTAGGTCATTCCAGGTAATGGAGCAAAACTTCCAAATTTTCACACGTGTTGCAAGGAGAGATTCCTGGGAGCTGTCTAGTTCATTCCAGAGCCGCTTTCGGGTGCAGTGTGCAAAGCACGAGCATTTCACGCCCATTATACTCAATGCGCTTTGCACTCGAACGCTTGAAAATCAGTTACAGGTGCTTCAGGGGAGACAGGCGAGGAAAGTGAAAGCAGCTTGAGAGCGCCAAACTATGTTCGCTCGAATGTGTAAAATTGGAGGCGGAGTATTTCGGACTAACTCGAAATTTCAAGTTTCAAAATTTTCACTGGGGGGCAAGAAGAGATTCTTTGGAGCTCTCTAGGTCATTCCTGGTAATGGAGCAAAACGGAGCAAAACTCGGAGAACAGAATGGACATGTTCAAATTTAAAAAAATTCACCGGTGGGGGGGGGGGCTAGGAGAGATTTTTGGGAGCTCTGTAGGTCTCTCCTGGTAATGGAGCAAAACTCGGAGAACAAAATGAGCATGTTCAAATTTAAAAAATTTCACCGGGGGGGCTAGGAGAGATTTTTGGGAGCGCTGTAGAGGTCTCTCCTGGTAATGGAGCAAAACTCGCCGATAGTGGAGCAAAATGGAGCATAACTCGGATAACAAAATGAGCATGATCAAATTTCAAAATTTTCGACGGGGGGGCTGGGAGAGATTCTTGGAAGCTCTGTAGGTCTCTCCTGGTAATGGAGCAAAACTCGGAGAACAAAATGAGCATGTTCAAATTTAAAAAATTTCACCGGGGGGGCTAGGAGAGATTTTTGGGAGCGCTGTAGAGGTCTCTCCTGGTAATGGAGCAAAACTCGCCGATAGTGGAGCAAAATGGAGCATAACTCGGATAACAAAATGAGCATGATCAAATTTCAAAATTTTCGACGGGGGGGCTGGGAGAGATTCTTGGAAGCTCTGTAGGTCTCTCCTGGTAATGGAGCAAAACTCGCCGATAGTGGAGCAAAATGGAGCAAAACTCGGAGAACACAATGAACATGTTCAAATTTTAAAAAAATCACCGGGGGGGGCTAGGAGAGATTTTTGGGAGCTCTGTAGGTCTTTCCTGGTAATGGAGCAAAACTCGCCGATTATGGAGCAAAACGGAGCAAAACTCGGAGAACAAAATGAGCATGAGCAAATTTAAAAATTTTTACCGGGGGGGGCTAGGAGAGACTTTTGGAAGCTCTGTAGGTCTCTCCTGGTAATGGAGCAAAACTCGCCGATAGTGGAGCAAAACTCGGAGAACAAAATGAGCATGATCAAATTTCTGAATTTTCACTGGGAGGGGGGCTAGCGTTAATTCAGCCCCCCCCCCCCCACCTAATAGGCCACATAGTCTCTCCACTGTAATGGAGCAAAAATCGAAATTAGTGGAGCAAAATGAGAGCAAAATTATGGGATAATTTTGATCCAGAAATTTTCTATGGGGGGGGGCTAACTTAACTGACCCGTAAAGGTACTGGCTCTAAGGCAGCTTGGTACAATAAAAGTGCAATTATTGCAATGTAAAAAGGGAAAAGGAGCAGACACCATTAGTCAATCCGATCGATCTCAGAGTGTTAAAGAAACAAATAGAAATACATTTTCTGTGCAGTAACCAAGCGAAAACGCTTATTTACCGTCGTTATTAAAATACAGGGTGGTAAAATTTTTGAGAGAGTTAGTTGTTTTTTTTTTTTTTTTTTCATTGATACCAAAAAACGCTTCAGGTCGCAGCCAAAAGTCAAATATAATTGAATTTAATTCTCAAAGTTTGTTGCTCACTCTTGACTTGGCTCTCGAAAAAAAAAACATTGATATTCGAACAATCAGCTCTTTTATGCTACATGCACACATTTTATTAATATATATATATAATATGTTATAACAACAAAACTAAAATAAAAATAGTAAATTGATAAAGTACAATAGTTTTGTATAAACAGATAAATTTCAAATTTGATTTGATTGATTGCTATACCGTTACAGCCATTCTATTTCACTATTTTATTTTCATCTAAACAATTCTTTAATACAATAACTAATTCCCTTTTCTTGTTTTCAGCGGGTTCGCTCCAATTTTTCGTCACATGTCTGGAAAAATGTCGTTTTAAATATTCTTTCCGTATAAATTTCTTATGACAAACTTCACATTCCAAATAATCTGCTTCCGAATGTTTCATCGAATGGTATTTTAAATCCATTTTCCTTTTAAATTTTTCATTACAAATGTTACATTCGAACGGAAATTTATTTGAATGTGTTAACAAATGATTTTTTAAATCAGTTTTCCGTTTAAATATTTTGTGACAAAGATTACAATTAAATTCGTATTTATCTGAATGTGATATTAAATGCCTGTCTAGCCCTTGTTTCCGCTTAAATTCTTTTTGACAGATTTTACACTTAAACTCAAATTTATCCGAATGTTTTACTAAATGTCTATCCAAATACTCTTTCCGTTTAAATTTCAAATGGCAAATATCACATTCATAAGCAAATTCATTGGAGTGTATCACTAAATGCCGTTTCAAACTTGATCTCAGTGTGAATTTGCAAAAACAAATATCGCATTGGAATGAATCTGCCGAGTTTTCTTCTTCAGGCTCCTCTTTTATGAATATTTCATTACTAGAGTCCAGTAGGGTATTTGTATCAATGCCAACTTCTTGCTTGATGTCAGCTGATGAAGTTGAAGGTCTGCAAAAGGTTATTTTATTCTATTTTTTACATATTTTACTATGTATTTTAAGTGTGATGTGATTAATGTTAGGTACATTCGATTTCTTACCCGATTAAATCTTCTGAATATTTCTCAAATTTGACATTAATATTATTAGGATATTGCTGGGCTTCATTTAAGGTCTTTATATCAATGAGGTCGAGCGAACAATCATCTTGAATATCTGTTTCTTCTATATTATCCATTTCTTTTTTGATATCTATTTCTTTTTTTATATTAATTTCTTCTTTGATATCCATCGCTCAAAATTGTTGAAAAGCTGGAATAATATTTTATATCTTGAATAAATAGTTTATAATCATATGAAAATATAAAATATATTATCTGATATACTGTCACGCTCTCGCGTGCATTATAGCAATCTCGGGTACGTTTATTCAAAAATCAAGTTCCAATTAACACAACAATAATTTATTCAACGTTACTATAACTTATGTAGCAAAACGCGCCCAAGTATTCTCTTTTAATTAGTTAGATGGTAAATGGCGAGCAGTTTTATTGATGGTGTTTATTTCCTTGGACGGCTACTAAAATTGTGGAGGGGGTCTATTCGCAAATGAGAGAAACAAACTATTACAGTTTACCAAATTATACTTTATTATACTTAAATATTTAAAAAAAAATTAATAAAACAAATATTTTCCCAAGTCTTACAGCCACTTCTAGGTTTACCAATTCAATTTACTTCAAAACTTTCCAAACTTTATCATCCTACAAAATGTTTTCCTTTATTCAATTCAAAATCTCCAATAAATTCATACTCAAAAATCGGCAATCGTTGAGTGCATTATAACTTCCCTTTTTAACCTCTTAGGCCTGGTACTTTCATCTCAGTATAAATATAATTTATTCGGCGAATAATAGACCGTCAGATAGTGACATATTTAGGTGCCCCATTTTCGCTTGCAAGCCTCGAAGAGGGTTGAAAAGTACATCGATTTTGAGTAGGATTAAGGTATTTTCACAAGTGGCTCCTGGGGATAACATATGGAAAATTTGATTCTCCATGACAGAAATGAAAGACATCCTGGTGCCCATATTTTCTCGTAAGCTGTGTTCACCAAAGGATTAAATAATAAATCCGGGCTTTGTGAAAACAAAGAAGGGGATGTTGCAGGTGGCTTAAGATTTGAAATAAGGGCCTAATCTTGTAAGAAAAAATCGAGATTTTGGGCGATTTTTCGACACAAGCCCATCGGAAGGATGAAAATCTACAAAGTTGGTAGCAAGAAAACCTATTAACTTGAGTGTCGCGAATGGAAAAGTACATTTTAGGGTAACATAAGTAAAATCGAATTTTCCATACGTTATCCCCAGGAGCCACTCGTGAAAATACCTTCATCCTACCCTACTTAAAATCGATGTACTTTTCAACCCTCTTCGAGGCTTGTATGCGAAAATGGGGCACCTAAATATGTCACTATCTGACGGTCTATAACTATCTATCGGATAAGTAAACCAGAGGTTGCTATCTGTAGTATATCTCCGAGGGGTTTTTTCAGGTAAAATTATCCTCGGACTAACAATCCGTTGCTGGTACCTTCAGTATTTCGGCAAAGCTAGTGTTACCAACCAAAGAAAACGAAAAGTGAGAAAAACTTATGGGAAGTTGAATGCTTCAGATAAAGATAGAATATATCTCTTGTCTAGTTGCTTGTTTTTGTCGAGCCGCCGCATTCCACTTGTCATTTGACTGATTTGTGGTGGATTTGAGTTTGACATTCATTTGTTTATGTTTTTTTTTGGAGAGAGAAGGTGCGTTTATGTTAAATAATTTTTGTATCGTGTAGTGGGAGTGGCTGATCAATCTTCCATTAGTCGCATGTGTATCTAAGAGATAGGTACATGCCTATTATTTTTGTAAATAAATCAAAAAAGAAAAACCCTATAATATTATGGCTTCTGGTAGTCCTTAGGCACCCTATACTAATTACTTTCTCAAAATTACATGGTCGTACCTCTACCTGATGGAAATTTGGAATTTCCAAAAAACTTCAGGTGCGCTCGGCTTTGTACCTGACTGCTACAACGCGGCTATTTTAACAAAAAATAAAACTTTTAAACTTCAGAGAAATGTGTTGAGTTTTTTTCCTTTGCTATTCCATCCCCAGTCATGTTTTGAAGGGTATCATCAGCATGGGGCTTTCAAGAGCAAATATTGAAATTTGAAATACTAAGTACAAAAATGAAATTGTAAATAACAAAAAAAAAAAACACCTATTTAACGAATTTTTCAAACAAACACAAATTTTAGAAAATTACGTCATCAGAATTCTGTGTTGTCACCTAAATCAAAGAAAACACACGGCGCGAGGAGCTATTCGGCAGATACGCAGATAAAACCTGTTATTCTTAGGTCTGACCACAGGATACGTTAACTAAAAGTTAGTCCGCATTTATCTGATAGATATCACTATACGGAAGTGAAAATAAACTCGTTTTTCTTATCTCTAGGATATTCTCTAATCTGGAGAATAAATATCGCTATCTGCAGGTGAAAGTACCGCGCCTTAGCAAAACAATATTTAAATTTCAATTCACTCAAGGCAATTAAATTTATGCAATAATGTTCCATAGTCTAAAGTTAGCAATAAAGTTTCATAGTCAAAATAAGTCACTGGCGTAGCTAGGGGGGGGGCAAGGGGGCATTTACCCCCCCACCAAGACCCTTAAATTTTATAAATATTTCTTCAAAATTGAAATAACTAGTCCCAAAAATAGCGTAAAGAAACCTAAAAAAGGGGCGTAGAACCCAAAAATTTTGCGCCCGCGGCGCTTTGGCACTGTCAGCGGTCGCGGTGGGGCCGCAAGAAATACTTCCTGCAAATATGCCCCCCCAAGACAAAATCCTGGCTACGCCACTGAAACAAATCAATTCACTTCATAGTCATTATCATCATGATAAAGTCAAAAACAATACTAGTCACTAGAGTACTTACATTTAAATTTTCACTCATGAAGTTACTTAATTATTTTACTTTAAAATTAGCTTCAGCACGCACATAAAACTGAAAGGTTTACTTCTTTCATACTTCGAGTTAATTACTGAGTTTATACTGTTTCCGAGGCTCGACTTCGTATACTTGCGATAATTCGCCACTCCGAATAGGTACTACATAATTATTCAGTTTAATTCTCGACAATTGACTGATGATTATTATAGAGCTCGCACATAATGTTGAACAAATTTAGATGGTCCTTCTTTCATAATTTTTCGTTACTTTTCAAAGTTTAACGCGTTTTCCCGAGGCAACAAAATGAAAGAAACTTTTCGCGAATTTTAACCGCCCTGACTCATTGATTTTTATATATATATAGATAGAACTCTTGTTGTTGGCTTCAATCCCAATTATTCAGGACATAATCTAGCCGTATACCACTCGACCTCTAAATTTAAATGGATTAAACTATCCAAATATTTCTTGCCTGATTTTGTTTTTTGGCAAATAGTTTCATGCACAATAACTTTTAAATAATAATTCATTAAGTTATTGTGCATTCAACTAAAGGGTGATCCAATTAGTGCTTTAGGATTTTAAAGTGAAATATAGGCAACACTGTAAAAAAAAATTATATATTTGGTAGTATCGTGTAAGAAATGTGAGAAATGCAGAAAATGTTGAAGCTGTAAGTCCAAGTGTTCGAGATAATCCAAATTTGTCTCTAGACATCGTTTTCAGCAACGATTATTTCTTCCCAATAATCATCGAAAACCAACTGGAGGGATTTTGGTTCCATCAGGATGGCGCTACGTGCCGTACCGCCAACAAAACGATGGCGTTATCGCAAGAGCGGTTATTCCTGCAATACCGGCTCAAATGTGTGAAAAGTGAAAACCTAATAATAAATTGGACCGATCGAATTCACTATTGTAAAGAAAGTCGTGGAGGTCATTTCACCGATATTATTTTTAAAACATAAATGTAATTAGTTGGTCTTTCAAATGAAATGAAAACATTTTGGCAACGCAGCAATGTCTGTGTTTTATTTCATTTCAAAATGCTAAAGCACCAATTGGATCACCCTTTATTTTCCAAACAAAATCATGCTCAAAATATGTTGGATAGTTTAAAGGGGGTGTGCGCCAAAAATTAAAGTTTTAGTGTAAAAAAATCTAAGAACAACTATTCAAACCTCGTTATTCTACGATAAACCATCGCTGAGATATACCGCTTTAAAGTGTGGACGACGCTCTCGTGACGTCACGAAAACTTTTTCCAGCCGCGCTCCGCATTGTTAATTTGATTGTTCCCGGCACGCCTGAGTGGTTTTTGTTTAGATTATTGCAGGTAACACAGGAAAAACATAATGTAAATTCAATTAACTCCACTTTCTCGTGCGTCGCTTGAGCTTTCGTGACGTCATAGGGTGAGATGCGGTACCTTCATAGAGTCATATCTGCGGTATTATTTGTCATAGAGGGGTGCGGATTTCACTGTTATTCTTAGATTTTTTTCTCTTTTTTTTGAGATGAAGTTGTTTTTTTGGCGCACACCCCCTTTAATCGATTAAATTTAAAGTTCTTGTGATATATGTGACAGAACTAGCTATTGCCCCTTTTTGGGCTCTAGTAAAACCGCACCAGGGATGTCAAAGAGTTTTACTTTGACTGACTGTAAAAATTAACCATTAGGTATTGGATCATAAGCCTTGTATTATGGGTTAGAGGTTGCCTTGATTTTCATTTATACAAATAAAACGCTGAAATAGAATAGTTATCAATTTAATTAACAAATGAAAGTAGTTCGGTATAGTCAGCAATCAAATACTATCTAAAAATTCCTAATTAAACGTCCAGTCGAACTACAAATTTTATACTAATCTAAAGTAAATGAGTATCTTGATTTATAAAGGGTAGGGAAATCTGATAATGATAATAATATCATTTATGATTAAATCATAAGTGAACGAAAGCACAAATTCACTAATTAAATGCACGAGAGCACAACATAAGTCAATTTCATTCAGTTCACTGTAATCAAAAAATGTTTATCGATCAAGTTCTTTTATCTATTGAGAGTTAACAATTTGAGCACTTTCCTGCTGAAGTCTATAAACAATATGTGCAAGAAAAGTCTTTATATATGCTCAGTTTCTATATACGTTTATTTCACGAGTGTGAAACCAAATTTCTGCATTGGACGTTAGAAGACACTTCAAATTATAGTGCATTTAAAGCGAATCACTAATCTGTATTTTTATTATTCGACTGTTAGAGGAATTGTAACGGTCTTACTTG